TCCTATTGTGTCAGGGCATCTGGGGAGGAAATACAACCATCATCTTCAGAAATTCTTTTGAGGTACATAATCAGTCATAAAATTTAAATACTAAAAGGATTTTTAAGAATCATTCAAAACAAAGCATTTTTCTTCATTTATTACAGAAATATATATTTTTACAACATCCCTGGCATATGACTGCTTTTCTTTAGTTTGAATATTTCCAGTGACAGGGAAATTTACTACACAGCAGTAAGCCAAATCTAGATACACATGCAATTGAAGTGATGGATCAAGAAAACCACTCGACGGTGACTGAGTTTATCTTTGTGGGCATCACTCAGGACCCTCAGCTGCAGATCATCTTCTTCGTGGTCTTCCTCGTCGTCTACCTGGTCAATGTAGTGGGGAATGTCGGTATGATTATCCTTATCATAACAGACACTCGGCTTCATACACCCATGTATTTTTTCCTCTGCAACCTCTCCCTTGTTGACCTGGGCTACTCCTCAGCCATTGCCCCCAGGATGCTGGCTGACTTCCTAACAAAGTACAAGGTTATCTCCTTCTCCAGCTGTGCCACCCAGTTTGCTTTCTTCGTAGGTTTTGTGGACGCTGAGTGCTACGTCCTGGCTGCCATGGCTTATGACCGCTTTGTGGCCATCTGCCGACCCCTCCACTATAGCACNTCCTGGCTGCCATGGCTTATGACCGCTTTGTGGCCATCTGCCGACCCCTCCACTATAGCACTCTCATGTCCCAGCGGGTCTGCCTGACGCTCATGCTAGGCTCATACCTGGCTGGTATAGTGAGTTTAGTAGCCCACACTTCCCTCACCTTCAGCCTGCGTTACTGTGGCTCCAATATCATAAACCATTTCTTCTGTGAAATCCCACCGCTCTTGGCCCTCTCTTGCTCAGACACCTACATCAGTGAGATCTTGCTTTTCAGTTTATGTGGCTTCATTGAGTTCAGCACTATCCTCATCATCTGTGTCTCCTATTTTTTTATCCTTATTGCAATCCTCAGAATGCGCTCAGCTGAAGGCCGCCTTAAGGCTTTCTCCACCTGTGCGTCTCACCTGACTGGTGTCACCCTTTTCTATGGCACAGTCATGTTTATGTACCTGCGGCCCACATCCAGCTACTCCCTGGACCAAGACAAGTGGGCCTCTGTGTTCTACACTATTATCATTCCCATGTTGAATCCTTTGATATACAGTTTGCGGAATAAGGATGTGAAAACTGCTCTCAAAAAGCTAATTGGAAAAAAACCTCAATGAAAACAAACCAAAAAAATCTGATTTTTACCATAGGTGAACAATGGTAGGAGTAGAATGGTGACAGGTAATTGAAAATGCAAATATCTGTCTAATACAC